ACACGCTCTTTTTCTTCCTCTTTGTTTGATAACGTTTGTTTTTTTGGTGGACGGTGTTGTTCCGTATAAACGGATTCGAACTAGAATTTAAATAACCGATCTTTTACTAAACCAAAATCTATTATGGTAAAAAGTGATTTTATATCAGAAAAATAAGATCCAAAATGAACCTAAAACTGGTTTTTTTCTTCATTCAAATATTTGTAGGTAATTTATCTATGTGAGCACTTGTAACTATGTGGGTAAACTCTAGTATATATATCCGAACTCGGTAGCTTTTTTTTTTCCTTTCACAATATTCTTTTTAATTTGAACTACCTCCTTGTTAAAAATGAAGATCGAGAGTTTCATGGTCTAGTTGTTATTTTTTGTGGTGTTTATGTTTGGAGATCCTAGGTTTGAATTTTCTCGGCATAGACTATTCATAGTCCAGAAGCAGTGGCCATATTATGATAACCTAGATCATTCCCAGGAAATTCGAATTCGATTTCTGTTCAGAATTTGGAGTGTTGTTCCTGGATTAATACATATGCTCATAGCCGGATCTGAAAAAAATTTACTAACATTAAGCATAAATATCTTTTTAAAATATTTGATTATTAACAACAATACATTCATTTTTCTTATGTGAAAAAAACTTATGAAAACAAATTAATAAAAACTTTTATTTTTTAATCATACAATCTCATAAAATATTAGATTCTACAAAAAATGATTTTTTATTTTACTAAATTTTCGTTTTTATCCATCAAATAACATATTTTAAACAAATTAATATATATATTTAATTTTTTTTTTTAATAAATATGAGCCCATTCAAATGTTTCATCCCACTCCCTTCAAATCCGGCTCTGCATATGCTCAAGACTTGTTTGGATAATGCGGGATCCCATTATAAGTATGATGATGGAAACCTCAATTCTTTAGATATGGATATTTAACATGGTACGTGTATATCCATGAGCAAGATTATTTTAAAATAGAAAATTTGACGTTTTATTTGACTTACACAAGTTAGTGGTGCTGTTTTAAAACGTAACACCTGACAAAGATTGCGTGCAAAAAAAAAAAGGCAAGACACTCACCATGAAGAAATTAATTATCTCATTCCATGGCAGCCAATATAGTCTTTCTTAATAAATTCTTATTAAAACTGAGTTTTCACAAGGACTTTTACAAACAATAGCATATGTGGTAATTCAGCTACCTGGGAGTTCATAACACGTGATTTGCAGCTATGATATCACATGGATTTATAATATCACAAACAATAGCATCTGTGATAATTCACCTACTTGGAGGTGCATAACTCTTAACATTAAAAGCTATAACCAAAAAAAAAAACATTATTGTGCTTTTATCCAAAAAATTAAGATATGTTTTCAGCTTAAACTTATGATTTGTTTTAAGCCTAAACTTAATCAACGGTATAAAAATTAGTAAAACGTAGAAATGATAAAAAAAAATGGGAGTGTAAAACATCAAAGGAAAAACTAAATTTTGAAAGAGCGATTCCTTTCCATTTAGAGATGGTTTCTACGGCAATATACTTTTTTTTTTTTTTATGTAGATCATTAGGTGTATTTTGATCATATATATGGCCCCCAATCATTAGGCATCCTAAATAGGAAAATGAGTTACCTTTATTGGCAATTTTCATGGTGCCAGAATAGAAACAAAAATAAAATCACATATTTG